TGTATCAAAGTCTTCCCTGCGCTCTTCAGCATCTTTATGTATGAATGAGAATGTACATTGCTTGTCGAGATCCTACTCGTACCGCATTGTCTATTATGTCCTTTTCATCACATTGCAGATTCTCGGTTTATCGTATACATTTCATATCTGTGCATGTAACAGTCTAGGTCTAGTGTAGTCTATAGATAGGTTAGGCATATCTGTGCATGTAACAGTCTAGGTCTAGTGTAGTCTATAGATAGGTTAGGCCCATCGGTTCAGGACTTTTGGCAGCTCATTTCTCGCAAAGCAGTGTGGGAGAAGCCAAGCAAGTTGGTGGCGGTGATGGTCTACAGGCGGCATTCTGAGACTCGCCGTTGACAGCAGCCATAGCCGGCCCAGTCTGAGTCTGCCATAGCTGGGGCATCCTCAACGCATCTACCCCTGGGGGTATCTGCGTATGGCCGGGCTACATCGAGGCTCTACAGTGTGTGTTCGTGGGTGGTGGCAGCCATAGCTGCCTGTTCCTTCGTCAGAGTTGTCCATCGGCACCGAAGACTTCATCGCAGGACCTGTTCTTCATCAGGGTGGTTGGCGCTGGCCTCTGGGAGGCTATTCTGGTGTGGCGCTACTAACTGGGTGTAGGATAGAGAGTGGGGTGTGAGTTCTGAGAGTGGCGAGGTACTGAAACAAACTCTGTTACGATAATTGTTTGAGTTGGCTCATCATCAGTGTGATTTCAATTGTTATCCTCGCCGATTCTACTAGTGATTGGTTGTTGGGAGTGTGTTAGAGAGAGAGAAACACTGTGTGTCTTCTCCCCATCTGTGCATAGCTGTATTCCGTTGCCTACTCTGATCTGTGTGCAGTGTGGACTCTATCTCCTCTCCCCCTTCTCTTATGCATGTATGGGCGTGTATGAGATTGTCTGTGCGTGAGTGGCGGTAAAAATCGTCAGGCAACCAAGTTCATAACACAGAAATGAGCAGCGCCTCACTCCCCAACCCTGAATAACACCCGTGGCAACCCCTGAGCCCCTGAAACATCAAGCGCCACCCAGATACAGCCTCCTGGGGGCAGTGCCACCCTGAAACAGGCCTCTGAGGCTGAGCGCCACTCAGAGGATGAAGAAGAAGACCAGCGCCACGGTATCTGATGATGACGAAGTGTCGGAAGACTTCCCGGGTGGAAGTCTGCAGCAGCGCCACCAAACACTGACAAGATGACCTCTGAGGAGAAGCTGCAGCAATGGCTGCAGCGCCCTAACCATGGAACCCCACTCCGGAGGAGGGTCCAGCAGGGCACCAACTCTCTCGCCTCCTAGCAGACTCCAGATAGCTCGGACCTCTGAACAGCCCCGCGTGCTCTCAGAGGACAGCGTCAGCCCCAACTATGGCTGATGCTCCGAAGGTCTAGCTATGGCTGTCTCCCTCAACGCTGAGCCGTCACCACTTCCTGTTCATGCGTTGTGCAGCAGCGATGTACATGGTACCAACCACCAAAAGCCCTGAACCGATGTGCCCAATCTATCTATAGACTACAACTAGCCTAGACTCGACCTAGACCGGACTGACTGACCCACCGGTACCGTTTCTATTTTGGCCTCTCGGCCTTTACCGGACCCGGCTATAGGCTATAGGACCGTCTATCAGAATAGGCCCATAGGGCCTGTCTGTCCTAGGGGTAGCCCGGGCCTGCTGTCCGCAGTTAGGGTAGCTGTAGGGAATCCGGTTAGTACCGGGCCTGTATTTTCCCGAATTTACAGATATGTCCCTCATGAATTTCCCTTACAGGTAGGTCTCTCCTCAGCCAAACAAAATTGCGAATCTGTCCTACCTATAGTACAGCCTCGACAGAGAGAGGCTACAGGCGACCAAAAACAGCAAGTCATTTCAGGCCTACCCTCCCCCGGAGCGAGGACCTCCGAGCTAGGGGCGTAGGCGTGCAGAGCGCCGAAGGGATACCCCCTTCTGTGCTGCCTCATATTTGAGGATGACAGACTTGGTTGTCTTCAGAAGCTCCTTGCGAGTAAACCAGCCGTCCTCAGTGTGCGGTTGGTACAAAAACTTCACAAGGTACTCCTTATCTGGACATGTACCTGACTCATCCTCCACAAATTCGACGTCATACCCTTTGCCAGGAATAGGGGGACCGAACTGAGGAGGCCTGTCTGGGAATGCATCCGCTGGCGTGAATGGCAACAACTTAGATGCATGAAAGACAGGGTAGGTTTGTAGATGCAGAGGGACATCCACTGTATAGGATGGTCAAAATGGATCAGCTCCCACTGTATCTAAGACCTGCCATGGACCCATGTATCGTGGCAGCAGCTGAGGCAAAATGTCCTCCTCTCGCGACAACTCAGAACTGAGTACCCACACCCCGTCACCTATGCGAATAGTAGAAGGACGCATGTGCTTATTAGCCTGCTGAATCATAGCCTTTTGGTCTTTCAACAGGTTAGCACGGGCGCGCTCTATGTCCACATGGTAACGCCTGGTGAACTCTGTTGTTCCAGGTGTCAGCGTAGGGGTAGCCTTATCGATGATGTCATTGAGAGGCTGTTGGCTCACGACCCCAGTGTAACCGATAGGGTGTGAAGCCAGTAGAGGAGTGTACAGAAGTGTTATACACAAGTTGTGCACGACCCAGATGGAGATCCCAGTCCTGCTGATCAGGGCTGATCACAAGACGCAGCAGCTGGAACAGAATCTGGTTCATCACTTCAGTCTGTCCATTGGCTTCAGGATGACGACCAGATGTCATATCCAGACGAGAATGAAGGTAATCCCTGCAGTAGGATTGTCATTCATTGCTGCAAAACTGGGGATCTTTGTCACTGACAATAGAGGTGGGTGGTCCATGATGTGTAACCCACCTGTCAGCAAACGCCGCCTGAACGGCTGGTACATGAGCCTCAGCTGGTAAGGGGATGAACTCTGCATATTTGGAGGACCGATCCACACATACCATGACCTGACGCATACCTCGTGGTGTAGTCCTACCCAAGTCAGTGAAATCAATAGACACTGACTGTGCAGGTGCATCAGGGATAGGTAGGGGTTTGAGTAGGCCAAGGGGAGGTCGACGTACAACCTTGTTCCTTTGGCATAACTCACAGGTTTCCACATAGTGCAACATGTCACTCCTCATCTCCTTCCAGAAGAAGCACTGCGACAGGGCTGCATAAGATTCGAGGGCACCAAAGTGACCACGAGCATCATGACACTCTGACATCAAAAGTGTCCTCAGCTTGCGGTCCTGGGGAATGCACAGGCGCTCCTCGCCTCTGCTGCATGTATACAGCAGGCTTGAGACCAGAGTATATCATGGTTCAGAGGCAGGATCGTCCTGACGATTCCTCACAATAGGCCCAAAGATCTCATCCTAGGGCAGCAACTGGGCAATGGTCTGACGTGTCCTCTCTCCAAATGAGTGAGTAAAGGAGATCAGAAACAGAGCGTCAGGCCTATGAGAAAGGGCATCTGCTACTCGATTGTAGCAGCCCTTCTTGTGTCTCAGTTCAAAGTCAGACATGTCAATGAACTAAATGTAGCAAGCAAGTTTGTCATTCATCTCTCCCTGGGACTTCATCCACTGAAGGGTGGAGTGATCTGAAAAGATCTTGAAGTGCCTGCCCAGGAGAAAGTGTTTCCAATGCTTGAGCGCTGACACAAGAGCATAAAGCTCTTTCTCATAGGTAGAGTCCTGCAGCTTCTTGGTCTTGATCTTC